TAAGCACCTGAGAGAGAGTGGGCACCTCCCAGAACATTGTTTTGTGCCACTCCCAACAGAAATATTCCAGGTGGACACCTTCAGCAATCAGGAGCTCCTCAGTTGCTCATAGAAAATCCCATCTTGGAGTTTACAAAGACTTATGGGTAGAAAAGCCACACAAAGTAACTTACTATACCACATGTGGCATACTGGGGACACTTAGTATGCCTTAAGGAGCCCTGGTGGTGCAGTGGTTAGGAACTCATCTGCTAACTGAAAGGTGTTATTTATTTATTTATTTTTGATATGGAGGAAGAGCATTCTAAAAACTAAGACTCTTATCATGACTGGGACTTCTGGCTCAGGTCAGAACCAATGTCTCCTTTTTGTACTCCATTTTGTATTTTTCTGTCATAAAATTTCCACTACGCCTTTAAACTAGAAACAAGAAGTTCTACAGAAAAATGTGGTGTTGCTTGCTCACCTAGGCGTTAAAGAAACAAGTTGTAGTTAAGCTTCAGAGAGATGCACTCATAGTTAGAAACAGCTATGTTAAATGGAGACATGCTTACAGTTTTTCTGTATTAAAACCCCTTTTCTCCTCTTAAACATAAGAATACTTAGCATTTTCCACTAACTAGATGGTAAACTTATATTAACTTGGGTGAGGAGAAGGGAATATGTAATAAAGGGAAGGTCAACACAACATCATCAAGGCAAAGGAAGACACTAGGAAGTACAAAACAGTATAAGGCCACAACAGTAAGTGCGATTACATACACAGTCCTGCAATAATGAAAATGACAAACAGTAATTTATGAGTGGATAAAAAGGTCGTCAAGTTGATTGTGACTCACAACGACCACTCCTTGGGTTTCCAAGGAAGTATCTCTATGGAAGTAGATTGCCCAACCTTCCTTCTGAGGAGTGGTTGGTGGGTTTGAACCACCAGCCTTTCTGGTTAGCAGTCAGATGCCTTAGGCACTATATCACCAGAGCTCCCAAGGTAGATGTGTAAACTGAACAGATATGGGAAGGCCTTTAGGAATACACCCACGAGCATATACAGATTTGGCAGAGGTTATTCTACATGTGTATTTGTACATGCTGTGAATATATCTTGGTCTATAATAGAACATACAGGGGACAAAGTTAGGCAAACTTCTTAGCCATAACCAAACACCTTGATGACTGAGTCATTGCGATGGAAGACTTAGGACCATAGTTTCAGGGCACATCCAAGATCAATTGATATAACACAGTCAGTAAAGACAGTGTTCTACGTCTTACTTTGGTGAGTAGCAATGGAGTCTTTGTGTGAGTGAGGCCATCTAAAAGTTTGTGAGAGGCCATCTAAGATGTAGCTACTGATCTCTTCCCATCTTGAGCAAAGAAAAGTGAATACAATCAAAGACCCAAGGAAATAATTAGTCCAAAGGACTAATGGCCCACAGGAAACCACAACCTCCACTAGCCTGAGACCAGAAGACCTACATGGGGCCCAGCTACGACTACTGATTGCTTTGATTTGGATCACAATGGAAGGTCCTGGACAGAGTGGGAGAAAATGTACAATAAAATTCAAAATAATAATAATAATAATAAAGGCTTACTGGTCTGATAGAGATAGGTGGAATCCCTGAGATTATGGCCCTTAGGCACCCTTCAAACCTGGAACTGAACGCACTCCTGGAGATCACCTTTCAGCCCAACAATAGACAGGCCTACAAATGAACAGTGACATTGGTGAGGAATATATCTCTCAGAACAATCAACTATATGAGACAAAAAGGGCAGCATTTGCCCAAAAACAAAATTCACAGGGGAGAAGAGGCAGGAATGATGGGCGAGTGGAAACTGGAATTCTGAGAGGAAGTGGGAAGAGTGCTATTAAAATTGAGGGGATTGCAACTAATGTCATGAAACAAAGTGTATATAAATTGTTGAATGGAAAACTAATTTGCTCGGTAAATTTTCACCTAAATCACAAGAAAATGTTAAAAAAAAAAAAAAAAAACTTAGCATTTTCATTTGTGATTGCTTTATTCTTTCAACAAACTCTTTTATTTTTTTTGTATTTTAACATAGCCTTCCAGTAGAGTGCAGAGCCACCGCCTTTATTGCTCCCTTGGCCTAGGAGATCTAATGCACTAGGAAACATGTGACTTTGGTGGTTGGCTGATTCTCAGAAAATGGCCTTAGACCCCTCTTTACAGCAACCTGTACCTATATTTTAAAATTATTTCAGGAAACTTATAGTCAGCCAAAATCCTGTCACAAAGAGCCATCCTGATAAGACCAACCAACCCCTGCAAGACCCCAACACCTGCAACTTTGTAAATATTATCCAGTCAGCAATACCCCAAATGTATTCTCCCTCAATTATCGTTTATAAAGAACCCCTGATACTCTGCAGCTCCTGGGAGCACTTTGTCAAAAATTTTAACTCTGTGTTTCCCCGTTTTGTAAAACGCTGTTTCGCTATAATAAACTCTTTGTTTTTACTTTAAATAGACTTGTATTTTTGTGTGTCTCCCCCCCCCCCACACACACACACTATAATATAAAAAGGAATATAACTCGAGCTGGGTTATTCTCTTCTGACTGTAAAACGGGCACGAAGCTTATTTGTGACTACTGAGTAAAACAGGCTTGCCTAAAGCCGACTTAGAAAGAAAAGCGGCGAGCGGGCGTTCTGGTCCCCCTAACCAGCCTCTGTTTCCGCAGGTCCCGCAGCGGATGATGGCTGCGGCAGGCGCCCCCGAGGACGGCGGCGGTGGCGCTCCGGGCGTGTGGGGAGCCTGGGGCCCCTGGTCAGCTTGCTCGCGCAGCTGCAGCGGCGGCGTGATGGAGCAGACGCGGCCCTGCCTTCCAGGCTCATACCGGTCGCGCAGTCTGTCGCGGTCCGGCGCCCCCGCGCGACCCTTCGCGGGACACGTCGTGTCCGCCGTGCGTACGTCTGTGCCACTGCACCGGAGCCGCGACGAGTCCCGCACCCTAGCCGGCCTCAACGCAGGTCGCCAGGGCCCCGCAGTGTTGCGCGGCAGCCGGCACCCGCAGGCCCGGGGCCAGGAAACCGCGGCGGAAAGAAGGTACGCCAGTTCTTGGACCCTGCCCGCCCTGCCACTGTCTCTGTTCCAGTCACTACCCCAGACGCGCCCTGCACGCTGCTCTGCACCACAGATTGAGCGGCTGATGCATTGCTTCTGCCGGGTGGGGAGGAGTTCTTGGCTCCACACATCTGCTTTCATCTTTTGATTTATTTTGCAGCCATTTAAAGGGCTGAGGCCATTCCCACTCCACTCTTTATTTCTGAATAATCTTCAAAGTGAAGCTAATTCTGAGGACGCCCTGAGGCAACTTTAGGGAGGTCCAGTGGAGGGGGTGACAGATGGAGGGAGCCAGGAATGAGGAGACTTGGGTGCTTGTGCACCCATGGTGCAGGAGGGAAAAGAAATCCCTGGCCTTCGAGTGTGTGAATTCACTAGACACGAAGTACTTCTAATTCAAAAGTTGGTATTAGTTAACTTTTCCTTACACTGAGTCATACATGTGTAGAGTAGATGCTCCCAGGCTTAGGTTTCAGAATTCTAGGAACTTTTTAAAACGTTTCCCCTCCTGTTTTGAGTGAACACACTGCTTTGAGTATATGTCTGATAGAGACTGGCTGTTTTTAAAGGTCTTAAGAAATGGCAGAGTGACATCAAAACAGTTGTATAGATCTAAAAAGTTTCACATGGCCAGACCCATGGAAATATGCTAAATTAAGGAGTGTAGATTTAGAATTATATTAATAAAAACAGACAGTTGCCATCAAGTCAATTCTGCCTCATGTCTGATTTTTTGGAAGTAGATTGCCAGGCCTGTATTCTGAAGTGCCTCTATATGGACTTGAACCTTCAACCTTTGAATTAGCAGTCAAGCTGAGGTTTATTGATGGAGCCTGAGTTGTGCAAGTTAAGCACCTGGCTGCCAATTCAAAAACTGGCAGTTCAAATCCATTCAGTGACTCCATGGGAGAAAGACCTGGTGATCTACTTCTGTAAAGATTACTGCCTAGAAAATCGTATGAGGCAGTTCTACTCTGTCACGTGGGGTTGCTATGAGTTGGAATCTGCTGGATGGCATCCAACAACAGAATGGGCACTGTTCCTATCTCTTTACAATGACAACTCTGTGAGATAGATACTACTATATCCCTTATTTTACAAGTGAAAACATGGAGGCCCAGGGAAGTGGAGTAACTTGCCCAAGGCTACATAGCTAATAAGTGAGGGGTTAGAATTTGAATTCAGTTATGGCTCTAAGAACCTGATGAAGTAGATAATATATCTGAGAAATCTAACACCCTATGAGCTTATATGACTACCCAGAGCCAGTGGAAAAGCTGGGATTTGATCCCTAAGGCACTTGACTGCTAACCAGAAGGCTGGCTGTTCAGACCCACCAGCCACTCCACAGAAGGAAGGTTGGGCAATCTACTTCCCTAGTGATACTGCTTTAGAAACCCAAGGAGATGTCACTATGAGTTGGACCCAACTTGACCGCATGTAACAACAACAACAACCACCTTACCTCCAGGTCCCTGAAACCTTCTGCTTCCAGCAAGCCACCAGCTTTGTGGGTGGAGTGCGGGGGCTAGGTGGGCCCCAGTGGGAAGGGGGCTTCTGCAAAGACTCTGTGGCTAAGAACCTCAGAGAGCTGTCCAGGGAACAAGCTCACTCCTTGTTGGCCCCAGGCTTGTGCTACAACATTCCAGCCCCGTGTGTTTTGGCAGCAGGAATTTTTTTTTTTCTTCTAACTTACTGACGAGGGGCCGGTTACTGTTTACTGTGAAGTTCCTACAAGTTTTTATCATGCTCTTGTAATCTGACAGTTTCAGATGAAATAATCCAAATATTAGCCTGGGAGGCCTATGCTGCTGACAAATGTCATGCTCTTCCCTGCTGATGAAAATAACATTTGCTTATATTTATCAGTCATTAGGATCGTGCATAGTATATGTGACCCCAAGGAGAGGTATGTCAGAGTGTTCTCTGGATGGTTGTCTGCTCCACTCTGTTTTCGATTTGAGGTTTGAGGCAGAGGCTGTTAGATCTTAGATGTTTTAAGAAACTGTTACGTTGCTATGCTAGGAAACTGAAAACTTAATTGGGGCCACATAACAAACAAAACAAAACAATTCAACCTTCCAGCAAATATTTATTAAGCATTTACTATGTTGGAAGGCCCTGGGACAGAAAAACCAGGATATGGGGCCTCAAGGCTCTAACGGGCTAAAGCAGCTGTTTTCAAACTTACTATTTTATGTTCATTTTTTAAAGCAGAAGAATCCTTTCTGTAAAATCAGTCTTAGATGGAGGTTCAGTTTGCAACACAGACAAAAGGCTGCTCTTGTTGAAGCCTCAGAAGTATTGCTGGTAAACCAAGGGGTCTTCATCCAGATAGAGCAGTGGTTTTCTTCAACCTTGGCTGACACATCAAATCCTCTGGCCATCTTTTAAAAATCTTGACACCCAGGCCGAATCCAAGACCAATGAAAGACAATTATAGTTGATTCTTGTTATTCACACTTGATATGTTCTAAAGTCCCTGGGAACACTAATGTCAGTACTGAACCACTGAACCAGTCATGTGCATTGGATCACTCAACTTTTTTTTTGCTGCTCTGAGCATGCCTGTGAATGACTGCAAAAGTACCACCTATAGTGACTTTGAGGTTAGAAATAAATTTTAGTTAGTAGGTGAATTTGTAAAAATGAAATCCATGAATAATGATGATTGACTATATATCAGAATCTCTGTGGGTCATCTTCAGACATTGATTTGAATCCTATCCAGCCAAAGCTGAGAACCACTGACTGATCGAAAAGTGCTTTTTTGGAACCTCAAGTTTCCATGGAAAAGAGTTTGGGAATCATGTAGTCTAGTAGAATTATCAAACTCTGGTGAGCACATATCAGAAGCACTTGCCGGGGGATAGGGGAGGCTTGTTAACGATAGAGCTGCCAGGCCCCACCATCTCCCCGACCTGATGGAGATTCTGATTTGTAGGTGTGTGGCCTGATGGAGGTAGTTTCATTTTAAATGATTCTGATTTACTCCAGAGTTTGAGAACTAGTGCTCTAGTGAGTTGGAAAAGATACGTTGGGTCTTAATTGACTCAGCAGCACAAAACAGCAACAACCACATGATGTTTGTTAAGTGAATGATCGAGTAAGAAGTAGTATCAGTTATGATAATGATTATCATTTTGGAGTAGGTGTTATCTGCAGGCACTATGTCAAACACATTAACACATTTATTTATTTCTAAATGCATTATCTCATTTAGAGCTCACATAACTCTATAAGGCAGATACTGTTATGCATGTTTTACAGATGAGGAAACTGAGGGTTGGAGGGACAAAATGACTTGCTCAAGATCACCTAATTCAGAAGCAACAGAATTCAAACACAGGTCCAGCATGAAAGTTCTTTATACTGAAGTGGGTATTTTGAAATTTACAGATGAGGCTGCTCACTTCCAGTGGGTATGGTCAGAAAAGCAGCTTGGAGCTTGGATAATTTGAGCATGAAAAGTGGATAGGATTTGATAGCCAAGACTGAAAACGGAAGATGTGCTCCTTGTCTCTGGAAAGTAACAGCATCTCTTCCTTGCATGTCCAGCTGCCTTAACTAGAGATATCTTTGCACCTAGTACTAACCAAAACCAAACTGATTGCCATCAAGTCATTTCCGACGCATAGCGACCCCTCTTTGGGTTTCTGAAGTGGTTTCTCTATGGAAGTGGATTGCCCAGTCTTCCTTCCGAGGAGTGGCTGGTGGGTTTGAACAGCCAGCCTTCTGGTTAGCAGTCAAATAAATGCCTTAGGCACTATGCTACCAGAGCTCCACCTAGTACTGTTGTTGTTATGTGCCTTCAAGTCAGACCCGACTTATAGTGACCCCTCCTTGGATTTCCGAGGTGGTATCACTATGAAAGTAGATTGTCCAACATTCCTTCCGAGGAGTGGCTCACGTAAGTGCTATCGAGTCAATTCTGACTCATAGAAACCCCCATTGGGTTTCTGGGGCAGTAAATCTTTACTGAAGTTGACTGCCCTATCCTGTCTTCCTTCTACGGAATGGCTGGTGTGTTCGAACCACCAACCTTCTGGTTAGCAGTAAAATACATTACGCACCATGCCACCAGAACTCCTTGCTCATTAAAACACACACACACACACACACACACTCTCTACAAATCTCACTCTAAAAGCCTTTAAAAAATGTCAGTCTTTATTGGAACTCTCCCAAGGATCCTGAGTGTTTTTTTTTTTTTTTTCAAAACAGCAAATTACAGAATGAAACATCCCCAAAAAAATCATTTTTAGACATCACTTCTTACCCCCAAATTTGACTGCCTGCTCACATTTCTCCCCTTTGTTTTTATTTCCTTGGCTTTCTTTCCAGCCCCTCTCGAAGGATGGTTTTCCCTGGCTACCTCCATAGGCTTTCTTTCATCTGCCCCTTTGCTCATCAGTGTCATCCCTTGTCTGCTTCTCTTGCCATTTGATGTTCTTGCCCCTGCTGTGTTCAGTTGAGTGACGTGAGGGGAAGAGGGCATGACCATGAGGCTGTGGGTCAGGGGCATGACAAAAGTTGGTAGAAGAGCAAATAAATAGCATTCCTTATGATGAAAAGGAAGGAGCTCTGGTGGTATACTAGATAAGGCATTTGGCTGCTAACCAGAAGGTTGACAGTTCAAACGCATCAGCTGCTCTGTGGGGGGAAGATGAGGCAATATAATTCCATAAAGATTTATAGCCTTGAAAACCCAATGAGGGATGCCATGAGTTGGAAACAACTCGATGGCAGTGGGTTGAGTGGGGTTATGTTGAAAAGGAGTACCTGGGTGGTGGCACAAATGGTTAATTACTAGACCACTCCTCAGAAGGAAGATGGGGCGATCTACTTCCGTAGTGATACTGCCTCAGAAACCCAAGGAGGGGTCGCTATGAGTCGGGTCTGACTCGATGGCACATAACAACAACAACAACAAGCTGAAAGGGTGATGGTTTGAACACATCTAGTGGCTCTGTGGGAGAAAG